ACTTGTTGAGACGTTAACGCCGGAGACGGAAGTCGGTGGGATAAGGCGAGGTGTGCATTTTTAGGGTCGACCTTTTCTAACCCCACCCCTCATTGTGGGAAGGCAGCATCGCTGTCATGCTGGTTGTCTGAAGGAAACACCTTACTGCCGTCACACCTGCACAGTCAGCAGTACGACTTCGCCTTCGGACCTTGGGTTTGCTGCTTTTAATCTTATCGCTCTCCAACCAACCTATCGGGTATGGTAGAATCTTGAGGAACGATTGTTCCAGCTAGTATAACTCGATTGGTCCATTACGATAAACAAAGCCGACCACCACGTCAAGGTAGTCACATCCAAGTAAGACTAATATTAGTCTAGCTTTGAGAATGAGACTCATCACCCGAAAATTCCCATACTGACGTACATTTGGTAACTTTAGAACCGAATGGGGAAGCAGTCGCGTTCATCTTTCGACGCACCATCGTGAAATAGAGAATAGTTGTACCCAGTTATTGTCAGACCGTATATCATGACTACCAGTAGCTAGGAAATTACCAGAAATTATTCACATTAAAAGCTGGCGATGCTCCTGTGCTATTATTTCTCCCGATCGAAGCTGCTACCTTGACGCGGTGATCGGGCTTGCCTATCGTGATGACCCAACCGAGCTATATTGGCTGGAACATATGTTCCTGCAGGTTCTACCATGCCAGGCAGGTCGATTGGCGAACGGTAAGACTAAAAGCAGCAACTCAAGGTCTGAGGGCGAAGTCGTACTGCTGACTGTAGAGAGGTGTGACAGCAGTAAGGTGTTTCCCTCGGACAACCAGCATGACAGCGATGCTGCCTTCCCACAAGGAGGGGTGGGGTTAGAAAAGGTCGACCCTAAAAATGCACACCTCACCTTACCTCACGGATTTCCGTCTCCGGCGGTAAGGCCCCTTGAAGAACGGAGCTAACACGTCAAAAACCTTCCACAAAAAGGCCGTGCGCGACCGGCCTCAAGCAGTTGTCCCTTGGGCTCTGCGGTCACGCTCCCAGGTCGTCAAGACCAACACTAATCCAATTTCCTTTTCAGGTTCCTCAAGAAATACCCTTCCACGGTGTGGGCAGCCGGGAAGTGACATCAGCCCTCATACCCGTAACAGCACAAGAGACCAAGGTGGTCACATTCAAATCCTTCCTACACCTCCTAATACCTCTCTTATCCTCCCGACTAACCCTCCTCACGTCTCTTTATCACCTCGCACCGCTAGGGCAAACGATTCGAGTACGTGGAACGCCATTCCTGGTCTCCTGAAACCACGCTCTAAACTACACGTAGGAGCTTTTAACGTACGAACACTTTGCCAAATAGGACAGCAGGCTTCCTTAGCTAAAACTTTAGAATCTCGCGCCATCGATGTGTGCTGCGTCTCCGAAACGCGCATACAGGATCCAAGTAGCGTCATTCATTTGACCTCACCATGCCAAAATAAAGAACCGACTCGATTTACGCTTCGTGTATCTGGAAGCCCTGATTCTGCTTCCCGTGGCCTCGCCGGCGTAGGTATAGCATTGAGTCCTAGGGCAGAACTAGCTCTCTTAGAGTGGATCCCAGTAGACAGTCGTTTGTGCGCTGTCCGACTGAACGGAACAGTAAGAATCCGGAAAGATAGGGACACTCGTCGTTGCCTCTTCGTCGTCTCTGCCTATTCTCCCACTGACTGCAGCTCAGATGATGTAAAAGATGAGTTTTACAGAAAGCTTTCGGACCTTCTCCGAAAAGCTAGGCGCTCGGATGTAGTAATAGTGGCCGGTGACTTTAATGCTCAAGTAGGTAAACTAAGCGATAAGGAAAGACACCTAGGTGGATCTTATGGTGTCGTGGCTCAAAGAACAGATAATGGCGACCGTCTGTTGCAGCTATGCTCAGATAACCGCCTGTTCCTTGCAAATACTAACTTTAAGCATAAGGAAAAACATCTTTTAACATGGCGACCCCCTAATTCGTCCCAACGTTGGACCCAAATAGATCACATCGCTATCAGCCACCGATGGAGGGGCTCGATAGAAGACTGTCGCTCATTCTGGAGCACATGCCTAGATTCAGATCATGCTCTAGTGCGAGCGCGTATTTGCTTGCGTCTTACTGGACGTAGGAAAGACCCTGCAAGGAAACCTCTTAGGGCCCTACTTAATGATAGTCAAGCTAAGAGTATATTTCAGGAACAACTAGGAAAACAGTTAGGCAGCCATGTATGTGATGCCCACCCCGATGCAGCATGGAATGATATCCGAAAAGCTGTGGAAACAGCAGTGATATCTGCTAGTAAGGTAAACCAGAAGGTTAGGGAGCAACACTGGATCTCAGCAGCATCTATCTCACTGATAGATGCTCGGAAACTCATTCCACCTGGCTCTGAACATAATGAAGAGCGGAGTCAGCTTAAGCGCAAGCTGACAAGAAGTCTACGCAATGATCGCGAACAGTGGTGGGTAGCGAAAGCAAGAGAGATGGAAAAGGCAGCGGCAATAGGTAATAGCAGACAATTGTTCAGACTCGTTAAGGAAACCGGAATTAGGAACCCGACCGTTAGCGAAACAATCTCAGAGAAAGATGGACATATTATTCATTCTCAATCCAGGAGATTGGATCGATGGGCAGAACACTTTAGGGATCAGTTCAACTGGCCTTCAGCCACACTTCGGTTTCCCACGATCTCCAGTCAACCTGAATGGCAAGTTAATGTAGGTCCTCCGTCCCTTTACGAAGTTGAAAAAGCCATAGGAAATCTGAAACGAGGGAGAGCAGCAGGCCCTGACAGGTTTACTCCTGAGATTTTTAAGGATGGTGGTCCAGTATTAGCAATGAGATTAACTGAGGTCTTAGGTAGAATTTGGGAACTGGACGTAATCCCATCTGACTGGTCTCAATCACTGATTGTGCCAGTTTTTAAGAAAGGACAAAAGTCCTCTTGTGACAATCACAGAGGAATCAGTTTGACTAATATAGTGTCTAAAATATTAGCTTCAATAATACTTCGACGCCTAACTAAAGCTCGTGAAGAGCAGACTAGAGAAAACCAGGCTGGTTTTCGACCTGGACGTGGTTGTATAGATCAGATATTCACACTACGTCAGGTTCTAGAACACAGACACACATTCAGACGCCCCACAATGGTAGTATTTCTCGACCTTAAGGCGGCATTCGACTCTGTTGATCGTGAGGTTCTATGGCAGTGTTTGTCACTGAAAGGAGTACCAAAGAAGTACATTAACCTTATAAAGGCTCTCTACTCGAACACAACTGGTAGAGTGAGAGCTTATGGCGAACTGTCATCAGAATTGATTACCTCAAGTGGTGTTCGTCAGGGCTGTCCACTCTCCCCATTCTTGTTCAACTTTGTGGTCGACGTACTTTTAGAGATAACACTCTCCTCATCTAAATTTCCAGGGGTTGAACTTCTACCAGGAGGTTCACTTGTTGACTTAGAATATGCTGATGACATAGTTTTATTTGGTGAAGACGCTGACAAAATGCAGAGTCTTCTGACCACTCTAAGCAACAATGCAAGCATGTTCGGGATGCGATTCTCTCCCTCGAAATGCAAAATGTTGCTTCAGGATTGGGTTACATCGACACCCGAACTAGTGATAGGGAGTGAAGTAGTTGAGTGTGTCGACCGCTTCACTTATCTTGGAAGTCTCATCAGCCCTTGTGGTTTAGTGTGTGACGAAATCTCAGCACGGATACAGAAGGCTCGACTAGCTTTTGCCAACTTGCGTCATTTATGGCGTAGGCGAGATATCCGTCTATCAACCAAAGGACGTGTTTACTGCGCAGCAGTTCGTTCCGTCCTACTTTATGGCAGTGAAACATGGCCGGTAAGAGTAGAGGATATCCGTAGGTTACTAGTATTTGATCATAGGTGTCTTCGAAACATTGCTCATATATCATGGGACCATCGAGTAAGTAACACAGTTGTTAGGAAACGGGTACTAGGTAAGGATGGCAAATCAATTGATGACGTAGTGAAACTTCATCAGTTGAGATGGCTGGGACACGTGTTACGTATGCCCAACGACCGACTGCCTCGACGTGCTATGTTCAGTGGTATAGGAGTAGGTTGGAAGAAAGCTAGGGGCGGCCAAACCAAAACATGGCACAAGTCCATGAAGTCACTGACAAGTGAACTGAGTCATGTTGGTAGGTGTAGACTACCTGGTTGGGGACCGCGAGATGACAGCAACCGATGGTTAGAGACCCTGAATGACATGGCTCAAAATCGTTTGCAATGGCGCAGGTGCATCCACTCTCTGTGTTCTCCCAAATTCTAATCTTCTGAATTCTTCATGTCCCTTTTTTTCCTCTTTCCAAATTTCTTTCACTGGATTATACTCTTTAAATAACATCTCCAAACCCTAATCTTCCCGATTACTGCTTATACTCTTATTACCTCTACCACTACGGGATTTGAATCGACAAGTGCATCTCTGTGCTAATGTGGTGTGGCAACTCGAACTGATGTACGTACGTACGAAGTTCTACGTTGTTACTGACTGACTGACTGAGATATACCACTAATATGTAATAAATCTATCCCGGTTTTATTCTTGTTTAAACTATGTCGGTTGCTATTTTGTCCTTAAGGCTATTACAACTTCCTCTTTTCCGTTTATTTTTCTATCGCACGTACCTCAGCACCTTGTTTCAAGCCTTTTCTATTAAAATGATTAAAATATAGAGATTGCTTTTGGGAGTGTACGTTAGAGGTAAATGTAACTTATTAAGTACTGCTTCTGTGTACTCAGCTTCGAGGGGTAGTGATACTACCTGGCTGCCCAAATCGAATTTTGTACCTGTTAGTGGTCCAAGTATCAATCTACTGTTCTGAATGAAGGTCAGTGACAAAGGCTATAGGTACTTGATAATTGTTAGCAAGAAGTCCCCATTTGCTGTACGTGCATTTTTCTCATGAAGTCTGAGTGTCTATATCATCCATATTGTTTTTATCTCTATCAAATGTCTACTTTAGACCCTTGTCTACTAAAGAACTGTCTGCAAGTTTTATGAATGGGTTACCAGTACAAAACCACTCATCACCCATACTAGAATGTGTTTCTCGACTTCCAAGTTATCGTCGTCGATCTATACATCCAGACCGACCAGGAATAGATGACCCCTACGCTGATGATTTGGCTTGGTTTCCATCGTTATCATCAACAAAATGTCGTGAACCGCCCAACAAACAAAAGACGTTTCACAACACGAAAGGAATCATCAGGGAAAATCTTATAAAATCTTTTTTGTATGTCATCATTGGTTTGATGTCTGTCATTCTCGATTGTTGCTTTTCCTCCCTCTCTAAATTAACGAGTAAGTTGGTCGTCTTTTGTGTTTAGTTTTTGCACGTATCTGTGGTCAACTAAGATTAAACAGAATCAACCTTACTTCCAGGTTTATGTTTCGTTATGGTAAAAAATTGTTTTTCTAACTTAACCGGGAAAATTTGGGCACTAGTGTGATAGTGTCTCAATTTGGGTGGAAAAACTTTGAAACGTCAGTCAGGCAAGACTTAAAAGATAAGTTTAGACCACAAATAGATGTGTAACAAAAATTGTGAAGGTTCAGAAATGTTAGCGACTAAATCTTTGTTTTTTTCATTCTTTAATGACTTTTATTAATTTTCATATAAAAATGCCGTGACAAGTATATGTGTGACCAGATTATTCAAAATGAGTTTTAACTACGAAATCTACATTTATTATTGTACTTCAAAGAAATAGTAGGCGACATTATGGAATAATCCAATTTCGCGGTGTGCTTGATTCAAATATGTTCTATATCTTAATTATTTCTCAACGTTCGACGTCACAGGTGTATGATCATATTAAACATCAATCACCTGGGTTAGTTGGGGTAAGTTCCCAATCTCATCGACTTAATTTAGCAGTTTGTCTCACTTATTCAAACAACACTTCACCATAGGCAAGTGCGCTCGGCACGTCCATGTGACAGCTACGGTCAGGTTTTATTTTGTTAATTACTACGACTGAGATTTTTTCGTTTTAAATTCTGCATCTTAACTATTTACCAACATAGGATAATACTGAATTTTAGTGTTGATTCGGTTGACATGATACTTCAACGGTTTTTACCAAATGACAGTCGTATTCTGTTTGAAAATAAGCAGCGTAGAATCAGTAGTTTACGCAGGGTCATCACCTAATGAGGTGCTCTATCGGTTTTCGAGGTTAAATATGAATGTAGAATCTTGTACGGTGATAATTCGGAAATAGTACAACTGAGGCAAACGAACTTCAAATTATTAAGATAATCTGCACGACCTTGGTTTCCAAGTTGTCGCGTCAAACTAGCTGTCTACGAATCCATGCATCGGCAGTATGACTTGGTTTATATAGTTAATTGAGCTCCCAAGCAAAGTAAGCCGTAGGTCTTCCTGCTCTGTGTTTTTTGAATAAACACAAGGAACGCTGTGTTTTTCTTGAATATTTTTATAACGAGTATGAATTCCCACGACAAGTTGTACGCTAAAACTGGGTTTATATGTTTGACTGAGTGTACACCATGTATCTCACTCCAAGACATTCAAACGTCAAGGAATCGGTAACTACTTGTAGTATGTGCCCACGAATGTTTACCATATAATGACTTGTAGACGTTTACTCTATAGGTAAATTATCAATTTGCAAATAAGATCCATAATTTATTTGCGATTATTCAGTTGAATTGATGTATTACAAACTAACCACTTTTTCAATTGTTTTTCCAGATGCCGTATCCACTTGTATACCATCTTTACGGATCTGTCTTTGTGTCATTTTATTTGGATTGCTTTTATGTGGACTGTATAAGCTTCTACTCGGGGATCCATTTTATCATAATCCCGTGGAAGATCTATATAACATCATACGGTTTCCTTTTGTTAAGTAGGCATTGTTTATTTTATACTGGGATGGCTTTGTAGTCCCGGTTCAACATATTTTAGTGTATTTTTTAAAATAGTTCTTTTTAACCGTTTTGTACCATACTGTTTACTTTTGTATATGTACTCAGTGTAATAAAATATGAATGTTCTGGTGTATATATTTCGTTCTTTATGAAGTTCAATCTTTTAGATCATTGAATACTGTCTTGCTATTGCCACTACTCTCCCCTGACAGTAACCAAAATACATATCTCACTTGTCCTAAAGGTAGCATGAACCAAGAAATTGTTTGTATCCGTACTGAAATAGCGTCAACTGTAAACTCACCAGAGGTGGCATGACATCCAAGTTGAATAAAGTGATCAGCAACTTCACATCTTATTGTTATGATGGATATCGCCATAAACGTGACCACCAAACGATTCTTTAAGTTTGGTCTGTGAGCAATGTCCCTAGACCCTTTTGAAAGCTAAGCAACAATATATCTTTAGAAAACTTGTGTAGAGAAGAACATGCGAAATCATACTGTACATTATCCACCGTTTGGTTTGATTCGTTCTTAAGTGTTCGAATATGCAGCTTTCAGCAGTATGATATACCTAATCCACATTCATCCAGGTGGGAATTCTAAACTTTACTGATTAGCCAAATCAAAGCACAATTCAAGATTAAAAGGTTTGGCTACACTTAAGGGGTCAGTAAGTGCTTTTGTCCTCTCGAAGCAAATGAGTCTGGTCTACACAACGGGAGCTATTTCTTGGTTTTACTCTTCATGTCTCAGACATTGAAAAGCAATTAACGCTGATCGTAAAACCAATGCTAGTCAGATCGATCCGGTTGTGATTATGGAAAGACGGTTCTTGTCTTTTCTACATACTGGACCCAAACTAGATTTCCAGGATCACACTCAACTCTTAAGATTTACTACAGTTAACTCGTCAACCAACATTCTTAAGTACTTGTATTACTAGCATGTTAGGGTATACTACTGTTCCTCGCTCGGAATTATTTACATTGAATCCCCCTAAGTTTCCTTCGAAGTGTGGCTGCGATTTTTTACGGTCAATGTTTTCTAACACCTGTCCATGGCAACATAACATCGTTGAAAATGAGGAACACCTTGACACTACTACTGTCCTACGGTGTAATCATGCATGGAAATTACCGTTTACTACTTCCCAACCAGTCTTTTTTGCGAGCATAACATAGTTAGCCTTCCAGTCAATGTAGTTCGATCTGGTTACGATGGCGGTTTTATGTGTTTGACAGTCTTTAGTGATCCTTCTAAACGTAATTATCTCCAATTTTATGTATGCTCACCCGCTGCTGAAGGATTAGCTGGGAATGGTTTTAGGCCTGTTACTGGAAATCTACAATAAGCAGGTTGAGACTGGTATTAGCTCAAAGCCTCGGTAAATATTTAGTCTTATTTCATGCTGTCACGTATCACTTTCAGCATATAGTAGAAAAATTCTGAGGCAAAAATTATCTACCACACTATAAACAAAAGCTTCTACAATTCAAAAGTTTCGCAAATATTACTGCTTTCCAGATAAAAATTTATCCAAGAAATCTTTCGGCTTTTCTGGGAGATGATCTTCTCTAAAGAAATCCATCACATGCGTATCAGACTTCCACAAACGCGCCACTTCAATTAGTTCATTTTGCCACTAAAAAGTACGATTAGATAAAGTGAAGTTCAACATACTCTGTGAATTAACAAGTCAATTATACGTAAATCTTTAATATCCTTATTTTTACGGAACTCTTCCCTTAATCTTGCATACAAAACAGGCACTGTAAGATCTACGCTACTATGAGCATATTCTTTTGGTATATAAGGAAGTTGTCTGTACCAGGCACGATATAAACTAATGACTCGCCTTCGAGCTTCTGCATGATTTCTAGACAGAATTGGCCTTGCAGCTTTCACACCAGACATAGTACTATGAAGACAGCACAAAGGTAAAAACCAATAAAGAATACATAGAAGCTATATATATAAGTAGCAAAATTTGAGATTAATAATAGCAACATAACGCTTTAAGATGTGGATGACAGGATTTTCAAATAAATTATAAACAACACAGAGCCTGGCATAAGTTAGTTTTCGCCCAACCTGATATACACATCGCACCCAAATGCCCTGGTACGGCTCTCATATGGCCATGCATATATAGCCTCTGCCAGAGAAGTCCTACTCACTGCCTTCTCGTGGCGGGGGTGTTGTTTACGAAATTGAGAGGGCAAAAAGCGAATGTCCGGCGCTTTAACCGGGTTGGTGGTCATGGAGAGTCCACCTAGGGGAGTTGGAAAACCGTGATTCCAAACCACTGGTACACATGGGCTCCAGCATCGTAAAGGAACAGATGGCGTATGAACCAGTTGTTGGTCACCGGCTACCATGGGACTGCATCTCCTTACGATGCTCCACTGCCTTGTGTATCAGACCTTCAGGTCGAAGGCTCCGGATGTGGCCCCTTAAGAAAACCACCTGCTTCGGTTTGGGCACCCGGGGAGTATCACAGCCCTCACACATATCAAATGAGATTTGTGTGGCGCATATGTATTTGGTGCCTTCTTGTACCAATATCTGTGTGTTAAAACAAATAAATATACACATTAGCTACGCAAGATGAAAGTAACAAAATGAACAAAAAACGAGTCCGTATGATTTAGTAACAATGATCGGGAAAACGGTTCGAAGATAGATAGAGCTTAAGGCTTAATGTAAGATGAACAGTGATTAGATCTTCACTACTAACCAATTGTGAGCTATGCCATTCATTACCTTAAACAATGAAGTATTCATCCGACAATACAACTCGGTCCAACAATTAATGACTTTATGAACTGAAAATGCGCCTGTTTATCCCCCCCTAGCCTTTTTCTAACTTATTTCAACAAAGATCGAGTCTAGGTAGGCAGTGGTTGAGTATACCTAATACATGTCCAACCCTCTCGATTGATACAGAGTCCTAACCTTATCAACCGATCTTCTTAGGATCCTATACTTAGTTACAGTGTTGCCTACTTAACTGTTCCATGATAGCCAATCATTACTTTAAAAGCACCTACGACTTTCTACTTTCGCGGACCACATTCAACAACCAAATAGTATATTTCTAATCAATTTAATTGCCTTTTAACTGGTGAGCAGCCATTTTGTCACTCCACAATTGACGCAAGTTTAAGGCCAAAGTTCGCCTTCTGAATGTGCATTGAGATATCATCAGACGAACTAACGAGGGCACAAGAAGCTTAGAAGATAAGTAAAGTTGTTAACGTGTCCGATTGATTCACCACTTACGATCATTCTAGGCCCTTACGTGAATCAATCGTGAAGCACATTTTAGTGAGAGAGAAACAGATCCGATCAAGCGTACACTATGGCTTAAGGCATCTGAAGCACTGGGTTTTGGAAGTCTTCACCTAATATGACTACGTTATCCGCATAGTCCAGTTAGACAAGTGAATCTTTTTGGTAGAGATTTCCGAATAAAAACGCTAGGTTTTCACAATAATTATAATAGTCGCTCATAGTGTTGGGATTGACAGTATTGTTGTGACTTTTTGGTAGTGTCACGACACTGGTTGTTTTAACATTTGGATCGTTATACTAATATGTAATTTACACATTATTGGTTACTATGGCATGTAAAATACTATAAGTACTACGGTGTTATCTCGCAATCTTTACTTGAGTACTTATTTATTTTTTGAACACACATCGCTACAAAGGAGCACCAAATACATATGCGCCATACAATAACAATGAGAATGTGAAGAGGTAGAGAATGTAGGGTGTGTATAAGAAAAAGGGAACGATAACGAACAGAAATTAGTGTATGATAGTGAAATAATAATAATGAGAGAAGCAGATCAGTTAGCAAAGGTATAGTCAGAAATTCTTCCATTCAAAGGAGTTACGTCCATTTTTATGAATAAAGTAAAACAAAGTTATAGCAGAATCGCCACTGGCTTCTATTATGAGCCATGTCTGATAACGTCTCTTGCACCATTTCTAGGATCCCAACCAGGGAGTCGTGAAGGATAAACAGAAGCCAGTCCTGTACAGCTTTCGTTCATACCGCGACACTATGTCAAACAATATTCACCGCTTCGTTTTTTCCAACCAGTCCCAGCGTCGGTAAATAATGCACGACGTAGAATTTTTTCGAACGACATTCGTAGAACATGTTCAAGCCACCGAAGTCGATGTTTTCAGATAATGATACCAATTGAATTATCGTCGCTGTGCTCGAACACACAATGCCGAACCTCTGCATTACTAACATGGTATTGCCACTGGATGTCAGCAATCCTTCAGAGACGACGACGATCAAACACAGAGTCGTCTAACACCAAAAAATAACCTCCGATCTTCAATTCTCAAACGCAAAATTAAGTGACTTTTACAGTACACTTTTCAAGATTTTCGATTAAGTTCTTCAGTAGTTAATTCTATTGCAACGTGCACTTTGTGGCTTGCTAGAGAATGAGTGCGGCGTAGGACATATATTATAGCCTCATGTAAGGCTATAACTGATGGACGACTTGTGAGCGACGCCAAAGTAACTTCGAGAAAATCCGCTCACTTACTAAGGTCATCAGAGTTACAAATTAGTGTAGGAAACTAGGGTTAGGGTTAAGGATTAGAATTTGGGGTTAAGAATCAAAGTTTGGTTTTGCATCACAAACCGGCACTAGCATTACAATCTAACCATACAGGCGAAAAAACTCCACACCAAAATGCAGTGTTACCTTTAATTTCACTGGTTTATCTACAAGTTATAACCTCGCCTAGAATGCTATGAAGTTTATCAAAAGCTCAAAGAAGTAGGAAGACCAAGTAGGAATTCGAAAGTATGGTGCTAAATACAACGAGTCAGATGTTATAATTATTGATCGCGAAAAAGTTTCATCCAAACCCAGTTACATCGGCAAATCTACTTTCTAACCGGAAAAAAGGGGAAATAAAGGTGAACTTTGGGGAGTTTTAGATAAAACCCTTAAGAGCTCAAATGGTTGTGGACGGAATAGAAGAAGCTTACACTTAACGGGCTTCTAGATGTCAGTGTGAATATATGCGACAATGTATCTAAATGCGGCCCCTTCCCCCAGACCGAGATGGATAGCGCATATTTTCCCAAGA